GGGGTTTGGGAATTGTCACTGCTTCCTCAGGAGGGTGTGGGGGTGTCACTGTCCCCAGGGGAGTTTGGGGGTGTCACTGTCCCCAGGGAGGGGTTTGGGGGTCACTGTCCCCTACATGGGGTTTGGGGGTCACTGTCCCCAGGGGGGATTTGGGGGGGTCACTGTCACCAGGGGGGGTTTGGGAGGTCACTGTCCCCAACATGGGGTTTGGGGTGTCATTGTCCTCAGGGGGGATTTGGGGGTCACTGTCCCCACATGGGGTTTGGGGGTCACTGTCCCCTACATGGGGTTTGGGGTGTCACTGTCCCCAGGGAGGGGTTTGGGGGTCACTGTCCCTGAGGGAGGGTTTGGGGGTCACTGTCACCAGGGGGAGGTCACTGTCCCCAGGGGGATATTTGGGGGTCACTGTCCTAGGGGAGGGGTTTGGGGGTCACTGTCCCCAGGAGGGGATTTGGGGTCACTGTCCTCAGGGAGGGGTTTGGGGGTGTCACTGTCCCCAGGGAGGGGTTTGGGGGTCACTGTCCCCAGGGAGGGGTTTGGGGGTCACTGTCCCCAGGGAGGGGTTTGGAGGTCACTGTCCCCAGGAGGGGATTTGGGGGTCACTGTCACCAGGGGAGGATTTGGGGGTCACTGTCCCCAGGAGGGATTTGGGTGTCATTGTCCTCAGGGGGGATTTGGGGGGTCACTGTCCCCACATGGAGGTTTGGGGTGTCACTGTCCCCCACATGGGGTTTGGGGGTCACTGTCCCCAGGGAGGGGTTTGGGGGTCACTGTCCCCAGGGAGGGGTTTGGGGGTCACTGTCCCCGAGGAGGGGTTTGGGGTCACTGTCCCCAGGGTGGGAGTTTGGGGGTCACTGTCCCCAGGGAGGGGGTTTGGGGGTCACTGTCCCCAGGGGAGGGGTTTGGGGGTCACTGTCCCCCACATGGGGTTTGGGGGTCACTGTCCCCAGGAGGGGTTTGGGGTCACTGTCACCAGGGAGGGGTTTGGGAGTGTCACTGTCCCCAGGGAGGGGTTTGGGGGTTACTGTCCCGGAGGGGGGTCACTGTCACTAGGGAGGGGTTTGGGGGTCACTGTCCCTACATGGGGTTGGGGGTCACTGTCCTCAGGGGATGTTTGGGGGTCACTGTCCCCACATGGGGTTTGAGGGTCACTGTCCCCACATGGGGATCTGAGGGCTCACTGTCTCCTACATGGGGTTTGGGGGTCACTGTCCCCAGGAGGGTTTGGGGTCCTGTCCCCAGGGGGTCACTGTCACCAGGGAGGGGTTTGGGGGTCACTGTCCCCAGGAGGGGGTTTAGGGGGTCACTGTCCCCCACATGGGGTTTGGGGGTCACTGTCCCCAGGGGATTTGGGGGGTCACTGTCCCCAGGGAGGGTTTGGGGGTCACTGTCCCCAGGAGGGTTTGGGGGTCACTGTCCCCAGGGAGTCACTGTCACCAGGGAGGGGTTTGGGGGTCACTGTCCCCACAGGAAGGGTTTGGGGTGTCACTGTCCCTAGGGAGGGTTTGGGGGTCACTGTCCCCAGGGGGGCTTTGGGGGTCACTGTCCCCAGGGGAGGGGTTTGGGAGGTCACTGTCCCCAGGGGGAGTTTGGGGGTCACTGTCCCCAGGGAGGGGGTTTGGGGGTCACTGTCCCCAGGGGTGGGGTTTGGGGGTCACTGTTACCAGGGAGGGATTTGGGGGTCACTGTCCCCACATGGGGATTTGGGGGTCACTGTCCCCTACATGGGGTTTGGGGTGTCACTGTCCCCAGGGAGGGGTTTGGGGGTCACTGTCCCCAGGGGAGGATTTGGGGTCACTGTCCCCAGGGAGGGAGTTTGGGGGTCACTGTCCCCACATGGGGTTTGGGGGTCACTGTCCCCAGGGAGGGGTTTGGGGGTCACTGTCACCAGGGGAGGGGTTTGGGGGTCACTGTCCCCAGGGTGGGGTTTGGGGGTCACTGTCCCCACACAGGGGTTTGGGGGTCACTGTCCCCAGGGTGGGGGTTTGGGGGTCACTGTCCCCAGGGAGAGGGTTTGGGGGTCACTGTCCCCAGGGGAGAGGGGTTAGGGGGTCACTGTCCCCCACATGGGGTTTGGGGGTCACTGTCCCCAGGGAGGGTTTGGGGGTCACTGTCACCAGGGAGGGGTTTAGGGGGTCACTGTCCCCAGGGAGGGGTTTGGGGGTTACTGTCACCAGGGGGTCACTGTCACTAGGGAGGGTTTGGGGGTCACTGTCCCCTACATGGGGTTTGGGGGTCACTGTCCTTGGGGGATATTTGGGGGTCACTGTCCCCACATGGGGTTTGAGGTCACTGTCCCCACATGGGGTTTGAGGGGCTCACTGTCTCCTACATGGGGTTTGGGGGTCACTGTCCCCAGGAGGGGTTTGAGGGTCACTGTCCCCAGGGAGTCACTGTCACCAGGGAGGGTTTGGGGGTCACTGTCCCCAGGAGGGGTTTGGGGGTCACTGTCCCCACATGGGGGTTTGGGGGTCACTGTCCCCAGGAGGGGATTTGGGGGTCACTGTCCTCAGGGAGGGTTTGGGGAGTCACTGTCCCCAGGGAGGGATTTGGGAGTCACTGTCCCCAGGAGGGGTTTGGGGGTCACTGTCCAGGGTCACTGTCGGGGAGGGGTTTGGGGGTCACTGTCCCCAGGGAGGGGTTTGGGGGTGTCACTGTCCCTAGGGAGGGTTTGGGGGTCACTGTCCCCAGGGGGTTTGGGAGTCACTGTCCCCAGGGGAGGGGTTTGGGGGTCACTGTCCCCAGGGGGTTTGGGGGTCACTGTCCCCAGGGTGGGGTTTGGGGGTCACTGTCACCAGGGAGGGATTTGGGGGTCACTGTCCCCACATGGGGTTTGGGGGTCACTGTCCCCTACATGGGGTTTGGGGGTGTCACTGTCCCCAGGGAGGGGTTTAGGGGGTCACTGTCACCAGGGAGGATTTGGGGGTCACTGTCCCCAGGGAGGGGTTTGGGGGTCACTGTCCCCACATGGGGTTTGGGGGTCACTGTCCCCAGGGAGGGGTTTGGGGGTCACTGTCCCCAGGGAGGGGTTTGGAGGTCACTGTCCCCAGGGTGGGGGGTTTGGGGGTCACTGTCACCAGGGGAGGGGTTTGGGGTGTCACTGTCACCAGGGAGGGGTTTGGGGTGTCACTGTCCCCAGGGGGAGATTTGGGGTGTCACTGTCCCCAGGGTGGGGTTTGGGGGGTCACTGTCACCAGGGGGAGTTTGGGGGTCACTGTCCCCAGGGTGGGGTTTGGGGTGTCACTGTCCCCCACTTGGGGTTGGGGGTCACTGTCCCCAGGGGGTCACTGTCCCCAGGGAGGGTTTGGGGTCACTGTCCCTGGGGAGGATTTGGGGGGGTCACTGTCCCCCACATGGGGTTTGGGGGGGTCCCAGAGGCCAGGGGGTGTCTGGGGGTGCCCCAGACCCTGGGAGGATGTTTGGGGGTGTCCTGAGTGTTTGGGATGGTCCCTGAGCTCAGGGGGTGTTTGGGGGTGTTCCAGAGGCTGGGCAGTGTTTGGGGTGCCCAGGGGGGGTTTTGGGGGTGTTCTAGGGGCTGGGCAGTGTTTGGGGTGCCAGAGGGGTTGTTTGGGGTGCCCAGGGTGTGTTTTGGGGTTGCCCAGGGGGTTATTTGGGATGGTCCCTCAGCTCAGGGGGTGTTTGGGGGTGTTCCAGGGGCTGGGCAGTGTTTGGGGTGCCCAGGGGGTGTTTTGGGGGTGTTCCAGGGGCTGGGCAGTGTTTGGGGTGCCCAGGGAGGTGTTTGGGGTGCCCGGGGTGTGTTCTGGGGGTGTCCCAGAGGCTGGCAGTGTTTGGGGTGCCCAGGGGGTGTTTGGGGGTGCCCGGGGGTGTCCCAGGGCTGGGCAGTGTTTGGGGGTGCCTGAGGGTTGTTTGGGGTGCCCAGGGTGTGTTTGGGGTTGCCCAGGGAGTTATTGAGGATGGTCCCTCAGGCTCAGGGGTGCCTGGGGGTGTCCCAGAGGCTGGGCAGTGTTTGGGGTGCCTGGGGCGTGTTTTGGGGGTGCCCAGGGTGTGTTTTGGGGGTGTCCCAGCTGGTTTTGGGGGTGTTCCAGAGGCTGGGCAGTGTTTGGGGTTACTCGGGGTGTGTTTTGGGGGTGCCCAGGGTGTGTTTTGGGGGTGCCCAGGGGTGTTTGGGATGGTCCCTCAGCTCAGGGGTGGGGACCCAGGGGTGTTCCAGGGGCTGGGCAGTGTTTGGGGTACCTGGGGGGGTATTTGGGGTGCCCAGGGGGTGTTTTGGGGGTGTCCCAGGGACTGGGCAGTGTTTGGGGTGCCCGGGGTGGGTTCTGGGGGTGCCCAGGGTGTGTTTTGGGGGTGTCCCAGCTGGTTTTGGGGGTGTCCCAGAGGCTGGGCAGTGTTTGGGGTGTTCTGGGGGTGTTCCAGAGGCTGGGCAGTGTTTGGGGTACCCGGGGTGTGTTTTGGGGGTGCCCAGGGTGTGTTTTGGGGGTGTCCCATCTGTCCCCCCCCTCCCCCAGGTACGGGATCCTGGTGGACCCCATCCAGGTGGTCTCGCTGTTCCTCAAGGATCCCTACAGCTGGCCCGCCCCCTGCCTCATCATCGGTGAGTGCTGGGTTCCCCCTCAGTCTGGGGGTGCTGGGGACCCCCCCGGGGGCTTTGGGGACCCCCCCAAGACCCCCAACTCCCCCCACTCTCTCCGTGTCCCAGTGGCCAACGTGTTCGCTGTGGTGGCCCTGGCCCTGGAGCGGCGCCTGGCTGAGGTGAGCCCCGGACCTTTGGGGGGGCTGGGGGGTGCTCAGGGGGTCTTGGGGGCGCTCTGGGGTCCTCCCCTGGCTGTGACCCCCCTCACATCGCAGGGGTCGCTGTCAGAGGGGGCGGGGGCCGCCCTGCACGCGCTGAACCTGCTGAGCATCCTGTGCTTCCCGGCCGCCGTCGTCCTGCTCGTGTCCTCCATCACCCCCGGTCAGCTGGGGGGGTCCTGGGGGGTTCCTGGGGGGGTCATTGTGGGGTGCAGCCCCCCCTGACCCCCTCCCCACCGTCCCACAGTGGGGGCCGTGTTCGCCCTGGCCGTCCACACCATCATCTTCCTCAAGCTCTTCTCCTTCCGCGACGTCAACAAGTGGTGCCGCGAGAGGAGGGGCGGCCCCCACAAAGCCCCCCAGAACGCCCCCCAGAGCCCCCCCGAGGGCTCAGCCTCAGAGTAAAACCCCGGGGGCTCAGGGGGCTCACCCTACTCGTGGGGGGCTCTCACAGCTCTGTGTGTCCCCCTCCCCACAGCCAGGAGAGCCAACGGGGACGTGGGACCCGGCGGGGTCACCTACCCGGGGAACCTCACCTACCGCAGTGAGTGGGGGGTTTGGGGGTCTGGGGGTCTGTGCCCCTGTGCCCCCCTCCTAGTGCCCCCACCCCCCAGACCTGTATTACTTCCTGCTGGCGCCCACCCTGTGCTGAGCTCAACTTCCGCGCTCCCCCGCCTCAGGAAGAGGTTCCTGCTGCGCCGCCTCTGCGAGATGGTGAGGATGGGGAGGGGCTGGGGGGCTTTGGGGTCGTGGGGGCTTTGGGGGTCCTGGGGGGCTCAGGGCTGGGGAACCTGCTGGGGCCTGAGGGGAGGGTGGTGTCTCTGAAATGGGGAGGGGTCGCTGAGATGGGGGAGCGTGGGAGGGGTCAGGGGGTCCTGAAAGGAGGGGGTGATGGGGGTGTGTCCTTGAATTGGGGAGGGGTCTCTGGGGTGAGGGGGTCCTGAAAGGAGGGGGGTGATGGGGGGGTCCTGAGTTGGGAGGGTCTCTGGGGTGAGGGGGTCCTGAAAGGAGGGGGATGATGGGGGGTCCCTGAATTGGGGAGGGTCTCTGGGGTGAGGGAGGTCCTGAAAGGAGGGGTGATGGGGGGAGGTCCTTGAATTGGGGGAGGGGTCTCTGGGGTGAGGGGGTCCTGAAAGGAGGGGGATGATGGGGGGGTCCCTGAATTGGGGAGGGTCTCTGGGGTGAGGGAGGTCCTGAAAGAGGAGGGGGTGATGGGGAGGTGTCCCTTGAATTGGGGGAGGGGTCTCTGGGGTGAGGGGAGGTCCTGAAAGGAGGGGGTGTTGGGGAGGGGTCCCTGAATTGGGGAGGGTCTCTGGGGTGAGGGGGTCCTGAGAGGAGGGGTGATGGGGGGTGTTCTTGGAGTGGGGGAGGGGTCTCTGGGGTGAGGGGGTCCTGAAAGGAGGGGGTGATGGGGGTGTGCCCTGAATTGGGGGAGGGGTCTCTGGGGTGAGGGGTCCTGAAAGGAGGGGGTGATGGGGGAGTCCTGGATTGGGGAGGGTCTCTGGGGTGAGGGGGTCCTGAAAGGAGGGGGTGATGGGGGTGGTCCCTGGTTGGGGAGGGTCTCTGGGGTGAGGGGGTCTGAAAGGAGGGGGTGATGGGGGTCCCTGAGTTGGGGAGGGGTCTCTGGGGTGAGGGGGTTCTGAAAGGAGGGGGTGTTGGGGGGTTGTCCTTGAATTGGGAGGAGGGTCTCTGGGGTGAGGGGGTCCTGAAAGGAGGGAGGGTGATGGGGAGGTGTCCTGAATTGGGGAGGGGCTCTCTGAGGTGAGGGGGTCCTGAAGAGGAGGGGATGATGGGGGTGTCCTTGAATTGGGGAGGGTCTCTGGGGTGAGGGGGTCCTGAAAGGAGGGAGGTGATGGGGGAGTGTCCCTGAATTGGGGAGGGGTCTCTGAGGTGAGGGGGGAGAGGTCCCTGAAAGATGAGAGGGGCTGATGGGGGTCCTGGAGATCACTGGAGGAAAGGTCCTAAAAGGGGAGGGTCCTGAGAGAGGAGAAACAATGGGGGTCCTGGAAGTGTGGGGGGGATAATGAGGGGTCCTAAAGATGGGGAGGGGGCTGAGAAGAGAGATGATGTGGGGGGCCTGATTTGGGGGTTCACGCCCCACCCACCCCCCTCAACATTCCCATCTCCTGCCCCTTCCAGCTGTTCTTCATCCAGCTGCTGGTGGGGCTGATCCAGCAGGTGAGGAGGAGCCCCCTCCCCTTCTCCTGCCCTGAGGGTCTGGGTGTTTGTCCTAGTGCTCTGGGGTGTCTTGCCCCTGGGTGTTTGTGCCCCGGGGTCTGGGAGTGCTTGTGCCTGGGCTCAAGTGTTGTGCCCCTGGGGGTCTGAGGTTTGTGCCCTGGACTCTGAAGTGTTTGCCCCAGGGGCTGCAGCCTCCTCTTCCCATTTTCCAGTGGATGGTTCCCACAATCCAGAATTCCATGAAGCCGTTTCGGGTGAGTCCTGGGGAGGGGTCCCTCTACCCCTCTTTAACCCCTTTTGCCCCCTCCACTCTAGCCAGGGGTCCCAGGATCTTGTTATGTGGAAAGGATCTTCCCCGCCCAAACTCCTCCAATTCCTGCCTGTGGGAATTCCTGCCCCCATTCCTCTCCCTCCAATCCTGCCATCCCATTCCTACCCCCCCAACCCTGCCCCCAATTCCTGCCTCGACAATTCCTGCCCCCCACCATTCCCCTCTGAATCCTGCCATCCCAATTCTGCCCCCCCAACTCTCCCTGCCTGTGCCAATTCCTGCCCCCCCATTCCTCTCCAATTCCCCCATTCCCTCCCCAATCCTCTACCCCCATTCCTACCCCCCAATTCCTGCCCTGCCTGGAATTCCTGCCCCCCATTCCTGCCCCCCGAATTCCTGCCCCCAATTCCTGCCCCCAATTCCTGCCTCACCCTATTCCTACCCTGCCCCCAATTCCTGACCCCCCCAATTCCTGCCCCCTTGCCTCCAATTCCTGCCCCCAATTCCTGCCCCCCAATTCCTACCCCCAATTCCTGCCCCCAATTCCTGCCCCCAATTCCTGCCCCCCCAATCTCCTGCCCCCAATTCCTGCCCCCAATTCCTGCCCCCAATTCCTGCCCCCCAATTCCTGCCCCCCAATTCCTGCCCCCAATTCCTGCCCCCAATTCCTGCCTCAATTCCTACCACCAATTCCTGCCCCCAATTCCTGCCTGTGGGAATTCCTGCCCCAATTCCCGCTTTAATTCCTGCCCCCAATTCCTGCCCCCAATTCCTGCCTGTGAATTCCTGCCCCTCAATTCCTACCCCCAATTCTGCCCCCCAATTCCTCCCCCCCAATTCCTGCCTCCCAATTCCTGCCCCCCAATTCCTGCCCCCCAATTCCTGCCCCCTAATTCCTGCCCCTCCAATTCCTGCCCCTCCCAATTCCTGCCCCATCCACCTCTGTTCCTCCCTAATTCCTGCCCCCCAATTCCTGCCCCCCAATTCCTGCCCCCCCAATTCCTGCCCCAATTCCTGCCCCAATTCCTGCCCCCATTCCCGCTCTCCCCATTCCAGGACATGGATTACTCCCGGATCATCGAGCGGCTCCTGAAGTTGGCTGTGAGTGCCCCCTGCCCCTGAGCCCCCAAAGCCCCCAAAACCCCCTGACCCCCCTGACCCCCAGGTCCCAAAGCCCCCTGACCCCTAGCCCCCAGGTCCCCAACCACCTGATCTGGCTCATCTTCTTCTACTGGTTCTTCCACTCGTGCCTCAACGTGGTGGCCGAGCTGATGCAGTTCGGGGACCGGGAGTTCTACCGGGACTGGTGGTGAGTGGGGGCTCCTAACCCCCTGCACCCTGGGCGCTTCTGGGGTCCCCTGTGCCCTGGGGGTGTCACTGAGCCCCCCACCCTTTCCTGCAGGAACTCGGAGTCCGTCACCTACTTCTGGCAGAACTGGAACATCCCCGTGCACAAGTGGTGCCTCAGGTGGTTTGGGGGGGTTTGGGGGGGTTTTGGGGCTCCCCCCCCGGTTTGGGGGGGCTCTGTGCTGACCACGGGGGGGTCCCCAGGCACTTCTACAAGCCCATGTTGAAGAGGGGGGTCAGCAAGTGGACGGCGCAGACAGCCGTGTTCCTGGCGTCGGCCTTCTTCCATGAGGTCAGGGACCCCAAATCCTGCCTGGGAACCCCCAAATCCCGCCTGGGAACCCCCAAATCCCGCCTGGGAACCCCCAAATCCTGCCTGGGACTCCCAAATCCTGGATGGGACTCCCTAATCCTGCCTGGGAACCCCCAAATCCTGCCTGGGAACCCCCAAATCCTGCCTGGGAACCCCCAAATCCTGCCTGGGAACCCCTAATTCTGGATGGGAACCCCCAAATTTTGCCTGGGAACCCCTAATCCTGGCTGGGAACCCCAAATCCTGCCTGGGACCCCAAATCCTGGATGGGAACCCCCAAATCCTGCCTGGGAACCCCCTAATCCTGCCTGGGAACCCCTAATCCTGCCTGGGAACCCCTAATCCTGGCTGGGAACCCCCAAATCCTGCCTGGGAACCCCCAAATCCCGGCTGGGAACCCCTAATCCTGCCTGGGAACCCCCAAATCCTGGCTGGGAACCCCTAATCCTGGATGGGAACCCCCAAATCCTGCCTGGGAACCCCTAATCCTGGATGGGAACCCCTAATCCTGGCTGGGAACCCCAAATCCTGCCTGGGAACCCCTAATCCTGGATGGGAACCCCCTAATCCTGGCTGGGAACCCCCAAATCCCATCTGGGAACCCCCAAATCCCGGCTGGGAACCCCTAATCCTGCCTGGGATGCTTCGTCTGGCTGGG